AGTTTATTTACTTGCACAAATAATGGCTAATATTATGTATAAAAATTAAGTATCTTACTTAAACTATGAATTTAAAATTTTAACTAAATATAAAATCTTAAAATTTTGAATTAGAATTTTAATTAAGTTGACCAAAATTATAGTAATTGATGCAAATCGTAGACTTCGCTTAAAAGTGGGCCATAATATTGTATTAAAGACCTACACTCGTAAACCTCTTGCACTTCGCACTGTTTATGGGCTTCGGCTGCAATCGTGAGGTCTGTCAACGAAACCATCAGTTTCTGGAGTTTTGATTCCGACTCCGATTGATATCTCAATAGTAAGTATCGTTGCAATAAATACACATAAAGCTGTTGCTCCAGTCTATTATGTAAAGTTATTAATTGGTAAAATCAATGTGAATAATAAAGATATCTACATTATTAACTTACTTGATACTTTGTTTGTGCGTTAGGTTTGGTCGCTTAGGGTTCATAATTACGATCGCAGATAACTATAGTAGGTTTGATTTAATTATAGAAATAAGTTTAATAAATACTAATTATAAAGCATAAAGAATGTAAAGAATAATAAACACCGCACATATTTTCATACCAGGTCAATTATAACTTGATCCCTATTCCATTCTGGAAGGAATTTATCCATAAATTGCTTCAATGGGTAATATGTTTGCATCCTATGCTCCTTTAATGCTTTAAAACTGCCCTTCAGTGTGCTATTTTCAGTCTTTCGTAGATATATTAATTTTAGTATCATACATGCTCACTTTTTATAAAATAGTTGATATACTCACTAATGGGAACAGATATTCTTGAGTTTGTTCGTCGAAATACAGTAGACTTCTGAGAAAATTCAATTCAAGGCACCCGTACTTCACGAGTGACATCTGGTCCTCGACACACAGTTTCTGAAAACCGTCCAATCTGGGAACAGATATTCTTGAGTTTGTTCGTCGAAATACAGTAGACTTCTGAGAAAATTCAATTCAAGGCACCCGTACTTCACGAGTGACATCTGGTCCTCGACACACAGTTTCTGAAAACCGTCCAATCTTTTGGTGAATTCGACAATAGTCTGGATAATCTGCTCGTACTTTTGGTTCGTCACTTGCATAAACTCATTTGGGTCCCTAATCTCCACGTTATTATCGCTCAATTCGGTGATGAATACGTTGGTCGCCACCAATAGCTCGTCGATACGACGGCTTTCCAACTGATTTATGCCGTTATAGTCGGTCAGCGTTTTGCACATCGGAATGACCGCTAGTTTCTGTGCCTTTTGTCGGATTTC